ATTCGAGTCCCTCTCACTCTCGGGCAGACACCAAGAAGCAGAAACATTAATTTCTAACAGTCAGTCTTCTTTAAGCTATTTGGTTTTATTTCAGCCTCTGCCTGATCATAACAGTGAAGCACTGAAGCCAAGCAAGCCCCAAATAAACTCAGAAGACACATCCAAGGGTGAAGAACAGAAAACAGTCACCAGCAAACTCATCTCACTGCGCCGCTGCCCATTCTCACTGTGGGGTGTTTTTCTCACAGGGGGGCCTATGGATGCTTCGTTCCCCGGACGCAGCAGTAGACCATCTCATTAGAATCCTCTGCTTCCAGGAATCGTCCCTGCGGGTCCCTGCCCTTGAGTGTGCGATGTCCCATATGCTGGTTTGGTTCTGGCCACAGCCAGAAATAACATATGTGTCCATCAAGAGGGCATGGAGTATATAAGCGGGGGGCCGGCTTGGAGGTTGCAGGAGAGGATTGCAGCTGGACCTGGGCAGAAGTGACCACCTGCACAGTGTTTGTTAAAAGCTACTATGTGTGTTTAAAGTTTTTAGAAGGCGGGGAAATCTCTTGCATCTGCTCTCAGGTGCATACAGATGCATGGGTTTCTCAGCATAGAAACAGGAGCAGCTGGGAATAGTGGCTGCCTTGGGTTGGGATCATCCTCTTCCTGGGGAACGGGACTGGGAGCAGGACACTTTTTGCACTGTCTTTCAGACCCTTTGAATTTTGAACCACGAAAGTATATTTCCTATGAAAACATAAAAGTAAAATATTAAAAACAAACAAACAGGGGTGCCTGGCCGGCTCGGTCGGGAGAGCATGCTACTCTTGATCTTGGGGTCATGAGTTCGAGCCCCACGTTGGGTATAGAGATTACTTAAAAAAAATAAAGTCTTAAAAAAAAAACCAAACAAGCAAACAAACTAAAACCAAACCCAAAGGCCTTTGTCCTGGTCTCTGGACCACAGGGCTGCAGTTTTGTTTGTTTGTTTTTTGCCGAGTCGACCAGTCTCTTTATTCGGTTTCCTGTTGCTGCACTCTGAGGATGTTTTTCCGTTTTTCACAATTAGAGACAACACAGGGACAGACAGCTACGGACAGAACCTCATTCCATATTGCTTGCTTAGATCCTTAGAAGGAGAATTATTTTCCCACCCCTCCCTCCCTCCTTTCTCTCCTTCCATCAACATTTATTGAGCCCCTACTGAATGTTAAGCCCTGACCTAGAAACGCTGGAAACACAACAGGGAATGAGACAGATGCAGGTGCCTTTCCTCTTGGAGCTCACAGGCTAGGCTGATGCTTCTAGAACTTTCTGGATGATGGACACATTTTGAATCTGTATCATCTAGGAGCTACCAGCCCCCATGTGACTCTTGAACACTTGAAATGGTCCCTTGAGACTGGAGACCTGAATTCTAAATTTTACTTTTAATCAATTCATTTGAATTTAAGTAGCCATGTGCAGCTTCCAGAGTGGACAGCATGTGGCTAGAATTCACAGCTCCAGGGTGGGAGCATTTTTAAGACCCTAGATTCCTGTGGCCTGTTATCTTCCACATAGGCTGTGTCTCAGGTCAGGAGAGAGGGAGAAGCACAGGGCCAGGACTGCCTGAGGCCGCAAAGCTGCCATCCACCGTCACAAAGGCTGTCCTATGGTTTGGGGAATCATCCTCATGCCATGTGTCAGGCATCCATCCATTTGTCAGGCATCATGGGGGACAGTTGGGAACATGGTGGATGAAAGCCTGGGCCACTGCCCCAAGGAGTTCATGGAATATGGGGAAGACAGATGATAAACAAGGAAACAACCCAATACGATGATTGGAGATGGAAGTCCTATGATGGCAATAAAGAGGGTGATGGCACAGGGGTGCCTGTGGTGGGGACTCTGGCTGGGAGTGGTCCAGAGGCAGGGGCTCTCTGAAGAGGTGATGTTTGAGCAGGGGCCTGAAGATGAGGAGGTACTGGCCCTGGGGCTATCTGGGGACAGGGCACTGCAGGCAGGAGGCGTGGCTGGTGCAAAGGCCCTGAGGTAGGAACAAGCTTGGGAAGGCCAGCATGGCTGGGTCGGAGGGAGCAAGGGGAGAAGGGTAGGAAAAGTGGGCTAGCAGCTGGACCATCCAGGACCTTTGGGAAGGGAGGAAAAGGCAAGTGACTGTCCTGAAACATGGGGAGCCTTACAGCAGCGCTTTTATCTTGGCAGAGTTTTTTTCTGGTCAGTGGAGGGAGCTCGGTAAGGCTGGGCCAACTGCATGTGGATGGGGATCGAGCCTCATCCCCACCTCCAGGGCCCACCCCTCTTTCTCTGATACCTGCTTGTGTTGTCCTGAGGGGTAGAGTGGTGTAGCCCAGACGGAGAGGGGCTGGAGAGGAAGGAGGAACAGGGAAGGAGGCTGTGGACAGGCCTCTTCCTGTTCAAAGAAGTCATGAGGAAATCAAGGAAATTGGCAGGAGTCTGGCATGGTTGTGACCTTTGGAGCTCAGAAGCACTTCAGCTGACACTGGGAGCCTTGAGGGAGGCAGGTGGGTAGGGGGGCAGAGTCCCCCTGGACAGCCTCCTGGCACGCAGCTCGGGGAGGTGGCCAGAGGAAACCTCAGGAAACCACCCCTGGGCAGTCTCCACTCCTGAACCCAGGTCCTCTCCAGGCCTCTGTCAGGAGGACTGGGGCCCTGAGGGAGGGCTGGCTGGGAGGCTTATCTCTGTAAACAAAACTGAAGATTAGAGTCCCTCGGGGAGGAGTGCGGGCTGGGGCTGCAGGCAAGGGGTGGAAAAAGCGCGCAGGCTGGGGGAAATTCGAGGCAGGGTGGGGGCCTGGTCTGCTCTGTCCCTGTCACCTCTTCCGCAGGCCTGTCCTGACCACTGTCTCAAGAGGTTCATCAACGAACTCCTGCCACACTCCCTTTCTGCGGCCAGCCCTCATCCTTATCTGTCTCTTGTTCCTTCCTCGTGTAATATTCTGCTCCCTCCTTTCAGTGTGAGCTGAGCCTGGACTAGGGTGAGGAGTGTGAGGCACTCCCCAAAGGCACAAAATTTAAGGGACACCAAAAGCTCAGCTGCAAAGATTCATAGAATTTTATTTTATTTTAATTTATTTATTTGACAGAGAGAGACACAGCAAGAGAGGGAACACAAGCAGGGGGAGTGGGAGAGGGAGAAGCAGGCTTCCCGCGGAGCAGGGAGCCCGATGCGGGGCTCGATGCGGGGCTCGATGCGGGGCTCGATGCGGGGCTCGATGCGGGGCTCGATCCCAGGACCCTGGGATCATGACCTGAGCCGAAGGCAGATGCTTAACGACTGAGCCACCCAGGCGCCCCGATTCATAGTATTTTAATGCGATATTTAAAAAGCCGAAATTAATGCAAAATAATCCATGATGAACAAAATATCAAGATTTTGGAAAAGGTAGGATCCGACCCTGCACTTGCATGACCTTGCCTCCCTCTCCTCACCCGTTCCAACAAAATTTCCTTTCTTTTTTGATAGTGCATTAACATTTTTATCCCGATGACTGAGTTTTATGGCGCCTCTGTAAATTTTGCTTCCAAAGCGAGTGCCTCACTCGCCTCCCGCTAGCTCTGGCCCTGGAACGAGTGAAAGAACGAATGAATGGCTGTATCTCTGCGCAAAACCAGGGCTGCAATCCGGAGCTCGGCCCGCGCGCCCCGCCACGCCCGCCCACAGTAGCAGGCGTCGCCCACCCCAGGCGTGTCCCGCCCACCCGGGCCATGCCCCGCCCCACCAGCGAATCAGCTCCTCCCTTAAGCCCGGCTCCGCCAACCACAACCCGGACACGCCCACCCCGCGCATGACCCCGCCCCCCGATCCCCGGACGCACGGAGCGCCAGCGCCAGTCCGCAGCCCCTGGGCCCCCGCGCGCGTCTCTCGTC